AACTTATTGACAATTACTTGCATTTCATGTATTTGGGGAAGAAGGAGAATATTCTTTAAAATTTTAAAATCGAAGTACTTAGAAATTTAAATTTTTTTTTGTATCTTTTTCTTCTGCTTTGTACTTATTTTCGAGCGAATCCCAAATTTTCTTTGCTGAAATTGTGTTTGTATATAAGTCATACAAACGATCCGATAATGCGTTGAGAATGTGACCGCGACATATTAACTCATCTTCTTGGCGCTTTTGTCTTTCATTCCTCATCGCTTCGATTTCTCCATTTGTTGGTTTCGGTAGTGGCGCCAATTTCGAATCTAGGGTGTAGAAGATCTTTAGTGCAGTGAGAAGAAACTTCAATATGTCTTTCCATCGAGTGTGGTTCGTTCCATCGAACCTATCTAACCGCACGAAGTCTTGATTCATTAGTTTGATTGTCGCCAATGTTGTCTCGCTTTCCATTACAGAATTATTGTTTGAGATTGTTGGAGAAATTTCACCGGATTGGAGTGGAAATCACAAAATATGAACCGAAAACGCCAATAACAAGATAATCAGGAATTTGTATCAACAAATGGCTTGAACAAGATATCGTTATCCTCAAACAATATTTGCCCCTTCTATTATGAATTTGAGATGCTTCGAAGGTTGTTTGCAAATGATTTGCAGGATTATAACAAGCCTTGAAAGGATTTAAGCACCAAACCACAAGTGCAAATCCTAGAAAACTTAAAGAACACAAATAATGAATATGAATATGACTTTTAAAGCCTCTGATCTTTAATTTTGGAAGTAATTTGGAACTTTGATGTTTCTTGTAATGTTTTTCCCTTCAATATGGATCCAATATATATAGGCATACACCACATTTATGGAATGGTACCAAATTTTAAGCCAAGAATCACCAAATTTAAATTTACAATGGGAGAAAACAGCCTCCAATGGCCAAATAATTGTACCATATATGCCATGCGGTCGCATGGTTTGCCCATGCCGAGACTTGGGCAAATGTGACCGCATTGGTTTATACCATGCGGTCGCATGGACCAAAGTACATACATACATATATACATACATACATACATATATATATATATATATGTGTGTGTGTGTGTGTGTGTGTGTGTGTGTGTGTGTGTATGTTTTATTATTATTATATTATTATTATTTTTTTATTGTTGTTGTTGATTTTGAACAACATTATCACAACACTTCATCTAGTTCAACGAATAGTATATCATGCCCTGAAGCAAACTCTTCAAGCATTGGATGTATGGCAGAAGTATGATTCAGAATTTTGGTAGTATTCAAATCTTCATGTTTGGGTAAAAGCATTCTATGTGATGTTTTCAGCATTTGGTACATCAAAGCTTCATCATCTTGATGGTTTCAACCCACAATGCATACGCAGTCATTCAACTATCCCTGCACTTCAGCTCCATGTAGAACTAGGGAGAGTTGTCATAAGTCTCCTTATATCAATACTTAATTCCGTCGATATCATGTCAACAAGATCTGCATATTTGCAACCAATCGACACAAGAAGCCCATATGTATCCAAACCACAAATAACAAACACATTCACATCTTCCATATCTACATCCAAGAGAAACACACAATGTCTAAATTATACAAATATTTTAACATTATTATTGAATGACAAATCTTTAATCGGTTAGGTTAAGAATTTGTTTTCATGCCTTGCTACAGTGATTGACCATTTTTGAATCATTCAATATTTATCAAAATGTAACATCCCAAACACGGGCAACGTAAAAACTTCAAGAAACACAGATTCTATACAATCTGTATCATTAGGAAAAAAAAATATATATATATATACACACACACACACCTGTATACACATACATATACATATGTATGTGTGTGTGTGTGTGTATATATATAAAAGTTAACAACATTAACATGAATTCACGCCCATAAGCTATAAATAGTGTGAATTTATGCTTCTGTTTGTTTCTCATTATTTGCCTATTAAAATAAAAAATATGGTGTTATCCCTTATATTAAGCGATCATATTTGAATTTCTATTTTTTGTGTGGGGGCCCGTAAATGCTATATTTTTCATTCTCATTTTCATATTAATGTATACCAAACGGGGCATATGTTGGTATAACATAGATTAGCTTCATAATCAATCACAAGATACAAAAGTTTAACATATTTCGAGGAAGTAAAAGCCAATCATGAATCAGTTAACATTTAAAAATTTTTTTTTTTGATATCCAGGTATCCCAACTTACACCAGACTAAATTTTGGACCTCTAAGACTCATGCCCCTAGAACCTTGGAGGGAGTAAATAGCGGGATATGCCTCAATTGGATCACAGGTTCCCTCCATTGACTGTACACTTCTGCGCACAAGAGACCCTCCTCCACAGTGATTGCTCCATACCAAATTTTTGGCCGCAAATTCTCACCAGGAATCGAACCCTCCACCCTGCCGCTGGAAGCAAGCCAATGTTGATTGATCCACCAGTTGAGCTGTGACCCGGGGGGCAGCATTTTAAATTTTATATGTACCGATAGAAGTCTGACAAGTGTTTTGGTTCACATTAATTAGAATTTCTCATCAATGTTCCTTGATACCACAAAAAAAAAGAAAAAGAAAAAAGAAGTTACCTCGATTTGTGAAAAACCCCCCAAATCCAAAAATGGAAGATGAGTCAACTCATACAATACTCAAGAAATTCTGGCCGATGTTGGAGATGAAGAAGGTTACGGATTATCTTTATTCCGATAATTTTTCCCATGGCTTTTTTGAAATAAAGATGGAAAATGGAGAGAATTTAATTGAAGCACAATCCGTGGTTATTTTTAAGATGTTGATTACATTATTTAAAATATATGTATCGAGAGAAATAAAAGTAATTTCAGGGAATAACATTTTTGGTTTTATTTCATATATTAATGTTACATAATATAAAACACACTGTAGTACTTGTTGAAGATATATTCTCTTGATGGGTATATACGATTTTTTCCTATGGTTTTTGGTTGAGATGGCCAAACGTAGTTTTCCAGGTTTCTTTTCCAGGTTTTTTGGTTGAAATGGGCTGAATCGTAGGTTTCAGAATTAGTCGCTATAAGGTGGACACCTGAGTATCAAAAAAAAAAAAAAACATATATGTGTGTGTATGTGTGTGTGTGTGTATATATAGATAGAAATTTGGATATTACTTGATTAGTAAAGCTCGATTAAATTTTTATTTAAAATAATAATCAATCATATTTAATTTGAGATAATTTTTTTGTTTCTTGCTTTTTTCCTGTCAATCCCAAAGTAAGTCAAATAAATAAGATACTTATTTTTAACAATAATAAATAAAAAAATCATTTATTTTCAAACTTGTTTATTAACTTGTATGTGAGATTTGCTTGTATGCACATAATGTGAAACTTTTAATTAAATTATCACGGCTCATTCTCTTTCGATGATAAAATATTAGTATGTTTGTAATGTTTACTAAATAACTTAAAAAAATAAAAGGAAATTAAAAAAAAATTTAAAAAGTTTTATGTTGATTTAATATTTACTAATTTATTCTCAGTGCTGATTAAAAAAATACTTTTAATTAATTTAGAAATTTAAATTTAATTTTGCTTTAGAATTGGTTTGAAAAGAGGGAAAAAAAAAATGCTTGCAGTAAATTAGAAAGGATGATGATGATGATGATGATGATGATGATGATGATAATAAGTAAATTTAGCTCAAACTATCTTAACTAACCCCTTCGGTCTGAAATAGTTTTTAAAGTTTATTATTGTTAATAATAATTAAAATAATTGTCAAATAACTAAAACTCAGTATTATTGACTCCTTATTCAATTGACAAATATAAAACATGAATGTGCTATTAATTATTATTACATAATATATCAACTGATAATAAAAACTATTTTTAACTATAAATAAATTGCGCCACATAAAATAAATAAATAAAGCAATTTTACAATAAGATTGCAAGTTTGATCTCCCTTGTTATTGTCTCATTTGCAAATTGATCTCCATCGTCGTAAAGGAGCTACTTTGTTAAAAAAAATTCATTATAGTTGTATAATCATGCCTCCAACGATGAAACAATCCAAATTTCTTAATCAATTGTAACGTGGCACTTAAGAAAATATGTCTTTTCAATGTTTAAAAATCGGATAGATCACTAACACCAAAAAAGTAAAAGGATTAAAATGATCATAAACAGATTTAAGTGAATCGACCAATTCTCAAAATGAACTTTTCAAATTAAAAAAAAAAAATCAAATTGGATTTCAATTACTCAATATGAACCGATCAACCTTGTCCAATTTTGATAAAATTGATCTTAATTTGAATTTCTTAACACCCGTCTAAACTACACATTAAGATTCAAAATATATTTCTGTAAAATTAGATAAATTGTTTATATTACCAGAGATTGATTGTGCAACAATATTGAAGGGTTGGGATCAATTAGCTGCTTTGTCAATGGTTGGAGATCGATTCGATATTGAGACATTAAGCTCCTGTTTGAGCCTCATTTTACTGAGAAAATGTGTTTTGGAGAATGTACAGTTAAAAAATAAAAAAAAAGTTTTTCGATTTACATATAAAATTATTTTTATGAGAAAATATATGGTTGAAAATGATTTTTGAAAAAATGATTGCAAACATAAGATAAATAGGGGACAAGAAATGCAATTTTCCCTAACAATAATATGTCAATAATTTGCAAAACAGTTACCATATCTGAAAGGAAAATAATGATTTTATTGAAATCATAAAAAGGAATAGAATTCTTTTTTTTTTTTATATTTACTGCAATACAATAAGTGAAAAATAAATAGAAAATGCCATATATTATAATTATCTAAATAATGGTGTCCATAATTACAAGTGTCATCGAATCCAAACTTTAATTCAAATCCAACGTCAATAATCGGATGATTATCATGTCAAATTATATGGAATAATTATGTATTAGTAGAATTTTCCAAAATAAAAATATTATAATTCTCATTTAAACACAAGATTACTTTAACGGCTCTCCCCAGAGGAGAATCTCCCTGGTGAACTCGGTTCTACCACAACCTCCTCAGTCCTCAAAAGTAATCTTCTCGCTCTATATCTATATCTATATCTATATGTGTATGTATAGATTTAATTATTTGTATTTGGCTTTTGATTATTTTTTCCTGGTGTTGTGTATTAGCTGTTAGGACCTTCGATGGGTCCGTTTACATTAGCTGTTGATGTAAAGAGCTCTTTTTCAATCTCTTCAGGTAATCAAATCTCTTCAATTTAGTCTAATTTTAGTTTATTATTTTTTTGGGGGTAAATTTCCTATCTGTCGAAATTGTTATTAGTTGGGATTAGCTGAAAATGCTGAAATAAACTTTTATGATTTACCCAAAGAAGCTTATTAATGTGTGTGTGTGTGTGTGTGTGTGTGTGTGTGTGTGTGTATTTTTATTTTTTTTATTTTTAAATTCATTTAATGTAATACCAATGTCTGTGTGATCAAGTCCGAGTTTTTATAAATCTGATGAAATTGTGTTAATTTTAATTTTGCTTGTGGACTTTCAATGGATAAAAGTCAATGAAATGTGTGAGAAATAATAGAGATGAACTTTATTTTTATTTTTATTTTTATTTTTTTGGGAGACACGGAATCATCAGTTGGAGAATATTTGGTGCGAGACATGGTTACTACTTTCTATTTTTCGAGATTTGATGCGGTTGATGTGTGTTCTATTATTTTTTTATTATTTATTTATTTATTAACTAGGGGTGTATTTCAAGGCACTTCAAATCTGAACTTTATAATTGCTAATGCGAAGTGCTCACTTGTGATGAATTTTATGATTTCTAGTTAAATTTTTGAAGGGAAAGGCGCCCATGAGAACACGTTTTATGGATGTCTGTTCATCGATTTTTTTTTTTCTGTAATTTTTTCTTGGTTGTAGTTTGAGTTAATGATCTGGTTTTGTAGATACATCAAAGCAGAAAATGAAGAACCTTCAATTGGCACCGAAAAAGTTTTTTGCCTCAGTCAGCACTGGAGAAGAGAAACCATTTGATTTTTTACGTACATTATTTGGTACATTTGAATCTATTACTGTGTACTTGCTATTATTATTATTTCTGAAACTGTCTGTCATATACTGTGTTCCAGCACCTCATAAATCTTTATGGTTAAGCATATTTCTGTTCAGCAATAGTCACTCAAGCAAACCCTTTGGTTTGGTAATTCATAGTCTGCAAAGTGAAGAAGGAATCTGGCATTTGAAGCTTTTGAGATTTTAATTCTCAAGTAATATTGCAGAGGGAGTAATAGCAGGCGGCACAGCTGGTGTTGTTGTGGAAACAGTCTTATATCCAATCGATACAATAAAGACACGGCTGCAGGTAGGTTCACTGTAGGAATGTCTTAACTAGACATTCAAAATGGTTCAAAATTTCCAAATTGTTGACTATTAGCCATTGTTGGATGTATATTAGCTTTGCTATGAATAAACATAACGTCCAGTCAATGGCAATCTTTAGATGACGAGCATTTGTTACTTCTGTAGACACTCACTTCATCCCATAATTTGAGAAACCATTGTGTACGTATAATTTTATGATTGGTGTTGCTTTTATTTCAAATTTTATACGATATAAAAGTTTGATTTTTGACATTAAAATTCTTATTTGGTACATTGAAAATAGATAGGGGTAGTTATTTCATTGGCATCTCCACTGAGCCTTGATTTTCCCTTTTGTTCTCTGTCTTCTTTCCTTTGAAAGATATTATCTTTATTTGACAAGGGTGAAAAAATCCTCATTAGTGACATGACCCTGCTTTTAGTTTTAAGTTTGTGAATGAATTTGTAATGTGCTTCGTTTTTAAGCTTGTCAGTCTTTTCTTCTTCTTCTTCTTTTTTACTTGTTACCTAGTGAATATTGCTTTTTAATAATGGCTTTTGGTGAAGATTTATATATCACAACAGATATTGAGCCTCTTTGGTGTAGCTAAAAATCAGAGTTTTAGTAGATTTTGATAAAAAGTTATGAAGTGTTTGGTTGAAAAGTTATGGGTCCCAAAAAATGTGTGGTTAAAATTAATTGTTGACTTCGACTTAGATTTTAAATAAGCTTTTAATCCATACCAAAGATGGGCTAAATATAAGAAAAGTTTGCATGATTAGGGAACATGTTATGTGTTGATGTATATTGAATGTTGTCTCCGGTTAAACAATGAGTAAATGTTTCAGAAATGGTGCAATCACCCCATCTACCAAAGCCTGCCCCTAAAACAGAAAAGATGACGATGAATACATTATATTTATATGCGTGTGTTGTGTCTTGCTTTTTTCGGCATGCTTAAGAGCATAATTTAATTCAATCAATTAGTTCTTTTGCAGGCAGCTCAAGTTGGAGGAAAAATAGTTCTTAAAGGGCTGTATTCTGGGCTTGCTGGAAATCTTGCTGGAGTCTTACCGTAATAACATTATAAACTGGTTTCCTTTGAGTGCTATCATTTCCACCATATTCAAATATTTAGACTCCCTTTTTTAAATAGAAATTGCTACCAAAGGCCTCTTTACCCATCATGTAGCTGTAAGAAAATCCCTATGCAGCAGTTTATGATTTTCAACCTAACAGGTACAGGTCTGCGTCCACAAGGCGCGACTGGAGTTTAGTTTCTATTTCTTCTCCTCTTCTTATATAGTTGACGGACTTAGTTTAACTGTATAAGAGAGGGGTTGGTGGGCAAGTAAGGAAATGAGTCGACTCTATCTTGAACTATATCAGAAACTGCATGTCATGATTCTGATTAATCCCTCCTTAAACATCTACTGATGCACATCGTTCATAATATTTTTTACTTCTTTGACAATCTGGAATTTGATCTAGGGAGTAACTACATAATTTTTTTCTTAAATTCAATGTAGTAATGATTGGTATTAGGTAGGTTGGTTGATAATTTCTCTAATGACAGGGCCTCTGCCATCTTTGTTGGTGTTTATGAACCCACAAAGCAGAAACTGTTGAAGACTTTTCCTGATAATATGAGTGCTGTGGCTCACCTGGTGAGATTTTCTTTTCACTAGTAGTCTAATGTAAATTTGTAGTTAGTAGATTTTTTAACATTGCATTTGTTTGATAATCAGTTCAGCATAATGTTCAAATCCATTTTAGGCCGATCCCAACCCCCTTCCTTTCTCCCTCCCCTGGAAAAAACGTGGACTTGAGGATAGAATCCCTATTGGTTTCCTGAAAATTTGTTGTCCTTTGGGTTCAGAAATATTCTACATTTGCTTACTGAGCTAGGTATTGTGAATTGCCCAATTCATCCCCTGCAGGATATTAGTTTTGGAACTTACAGGTTTCTTTTATGAATTGCACATACATCAGCCAAAAACTATATGCACAATTCTTGAAGATACACTTCTTACAATATACCGAAAGAAACCATGTAAACCTTACTGTGATGTTCTGCATTTACTGCCATATGAATCCTAGTTGTTTTAGAAGGCATGCCTGATACATCTGAATATTATATGAAAACCATCAGTAAAAATTCTGAAGTGGCTTATTTTCGTTAAATATGCTTATCTAACTCGTAAATTAGATATCTTTCAGGAATTTTCTGCAGTGTTAGCATCTAATTTATCCACTGCAGATTTGAGTCTTATTAGAACCTCATAATGGCCTTTTTTTCCCATTAATCTTTACTTTTATGTAGACTGCAGGTGCCATTGGAGGTCTGGCTGCTTCTCTTGTTCGCGTCCCAACAGAGGTAGATGTGTAATTCTATATTTCCTTTTTATTGATGTTATCGGTTACTTGACTTTTACCTTTTATTACCGTTTCTTTAATATATCCTTTTGGTTTCTTGACATTGCAGGTTGTTAAGCAAAGGTTGCAGACTGGGCAATTTGCTTCTGCCCCTGATGCTGTTAGGCTTATTGTTTCGAAGGAAGGCTTTAAAGGTCTCTATGCGGTATGATAACCTTTTCATTTTATATCAACAATTACTGAGGTGAGCTAGAATTATATATGTTTCATTTAGAGAATGGCTCTGGAGAGCACTCCTTTTCATTTCTTGCTTTCCCAGGTGTGTATGGGCATTCATGGTGGGATGTAACCATTGTTAAAAAGGCTCAATAGGGCAACATAGGACTCGAGACTAGCCAATCAAATACTTAGGAATAATATAAAATTATAAAACTACAAAAATATCTTCTCCTTGCATTGGTGTTTCCTCCTTCCTCTTTTCCTTCCATGAGAAGACAGAAAAACAAACCAAAAAACCTATAAAACATTATAGGTTATAGAAAATAGCCAAAAGGCTGAGTCAAGTAACAAAATGTGCAGAACAACTGTGTGAACATCTTAGTCACGCTGAGGCTTAGCAGAGAGGCGTAAGCATTACAAATGGCATTAACACTTGAAGCATGACTTTTGTTGCATTAATGAAAGCTTCGTTTGAGGTGGAACTCAAGGTGTAAGCCTAAAACAGCTTTTTTGGACAATTGATGTTACTAGTGCATTTTACATATATAACCTGGAAGCACTTCTTGAGGAAAATAATACGAGCAAAACAAGTAAAGAGTGCCATTTTATTTATGAATGCATTGTAATAGCAGGAGAGATTTTTAGTGTTTCTTCCTTCAAATATTTCAGGGATATGGTTCATTTCTGCTGAGAGATTTGCCATTTGATGCTATCCAATTCTGCATATATGAACAACTTCGAATAGGTTATAAGTTAGCAGTAAGTACTCCCTTTTCACCCCCTTTTTCATTGTTTGATTGCGTTATCATGGCTGATAGTCAGGGATGCTTGTATAAGATCTTTCAAGATATAAGTAAAGCAACTTTTACCCTTTACTTTGTTCATCATCTAAGGCCTTATGGTGCCATGTACTTTGTACAATTATAGGATATCTTTCACTTCCAAAATTTTAATTGAACAAAATTAGTTGAAAGACTTGTTTATATAAGACTTTTCACCCCCTTTTTCATTGTTTGATTGCGTTATCATGGCTGATAGTCAGGGATGCTTGTATAAGATCTTTCAAGATATAAGTAAAGCAACTTTTACCCTTTACTTTGTTCATCATCTAATGCCTAATGGTGCCATGTACTTTTGTACAATTATAGGATATCTTTCACTTCCAAAATTTTAATTGAACAAAATTAGTTGAAAGACTTGTTTATATAAGCCACATGCAAACTTACTTTTTCTTACTTCTTTGTTTCCTACAACTTCAGTAGCTGGTACATTAAATTTATTTTAATAGACTAGCTAAGTTCTTTGAAACTTGAGTTCCCTCTAATTTCAAAATGTTAGGAAGCACCTTTTTTGGATATTTTTGCTTTAGTAGTTCCAAGCATGACTTTAGGCAAATGTGCTAGTTTACTCATTGACTCAAAATATATTGTGTCAACTAATTAACTGTTGCAGTAATTGATGATATTCTGGCATAAATGCTGCTATATAAAGCCTTTTATTCTTTTGTATCCTCAATCAGGCAAAGAGAGATCTGAATGATCCTGAGAATGCTGTTATTGGGGCTTTTGCTGGTAAATTGGCTTCCAAAACCTTTCAGATCTTGTTATCATGTGCAATTGTTAGACATGCTTTATTGTATCAACAGATATTACAAAATTACAAATTTTAACATTCAGTGGCTATCCGTATTCTTTAATTTTTACAATAATTTAGAAGGATATTATGTTGCATGCTGTTGTTCTCAATTTGTTTCAACCAGCTAAAATGTTGAATAAAATAAAGTGGTATATACTTCAACATAACAAGATACTAAACACGAAGGGAAATAGATGTGATGAAGCAACACTGGAAAGCATAACTTGTGCTCACCAAACTGTTGAGTGGTCCGAGTGAATCAATAGAGAAGGAAAAATATAAAATTGTATTCCAATATGGCTCATCTTGCAAGGAAACTGGTAATCACGTGGACTTTTGGAAGGGAAAATATATATTTAGCCTTTTAATATTTTTGTGGTTGACTTTTCAGGATTTTCAAAACTTCAGGGTTTCTTTTTTATTATATAACATGATGGTATTTTTAGAAATCAGCTATTTCTCTATTTTGTAAAGATCAATGGCTTATAACATAATGGGGCGGCTAATGAAAATTTTAGAACATTGGTTTCCTCCCCTCCCCTCCTCTGCTTTTATCTTTTTAAATCCAGACAATGTGGTTTTTGTTTATGAAGGTCCAAAGAAAATGGAAAATGGAGTTCCATAGAGAAAAAAATGGAAAGTGGAAAAAGGTAGTAAACTGCAAATAAGAGCTCTGCCTAACAACAAAATAATTTATTTATGTCAAATGTATTTACCAAAATTAAGTAAAATCTAAGCTCATTAAACATGAATTACGGATACAAATATTAATAGTGTGTAAATAAAGGTATCACTACCTAAAGAAGAGAAGTTCCAAGCCCTCTCATGATCTTTTAATTTCCAATTTTGCTCCTGCAGATAGTTATATCTGTCCGACTCTAGCCTTAAATTTTAGGCACATATACTCAACTGTGATTCTACACTTGCTTCAATTACAAGAAAATCAAGTAGGGTTCAAGTCGAATAAAAAGGTTAATATGAATTTGGACTTATGAGCTGTGGAAGCCACTTCATGCCTTCGGTTATTTCTTGTACTGTTATGCTGCCTACTTTGTCATCATTTCTTTGGTAGGTGCTCTAACTGGAGCTTTAACCACTCCCCTTGATGTGATTAAGACTAGATTGATGGTTCAGGTATGGTCAATTCAACTCATCTCCCTCCATCTCTTGCCTTTTGTGTTTAGATTTTCATTTGAAAAGGGATCCATACACACTCAGTAAATGCATATTGTCTTCTTGTACATGCTAGCAGGCAGAAGTCTGACTACATTTTTTTGCAGGGATCGGCCAACCAGTATAATGGAATATTTGATTGCGTCCAGACTATTGTCAAAGAAGAAGGACCTCGGGCACTCTTAAAGGTACAAGTAATTCTCTCCACCTGTTACATCATATTGTGCTCAGCAAGCATGTATGGCTGGCCTAAGATATGTAATTAGTATCTTAGAAGCTGGAGAAGTCGAGATATCTAGAAGTGCAAAAGTGGGTGACCAGCCCAGGACCCATCAGGACTCAAAGTCTTGGTTGTGCAGGGTGCCGACGTCTATTTGAGAACAAAAAAAGAATGACATTGCACTCCGTGCAAAAGTTTTTGGGGGTAGCAAAAGCCAATGTGGTCTACTACAAGGAAATCCTTCTGTTTGCTTATTTTAGTAGCTGTAGTTCATTAAACTGATAATTTATGAATTTCAAATTTTCACTGTTCTACTGTAGGGCATTGGACCGAGAGTTCTGTGGATAGGCATTGGTGGTTCGATATTCTTTGGTGTCCTGGAGAGCACGAAGAGATTCCTTGCCGAGAGGCGTCCTATCAGTCATCCGGAGTCGAGCACAAAGCAAGAATAGATACTTCATAACATTCCACAGGGCTTATGCACCCAAATAATGACCACACAGGATCACAAAATTGAGAAATGAACAATTATGCTATTTATGAAATATATTGTGCGAGACTATCTGGGAAAAAGTTTGTTCAGAAACGGATAACGTTCTTTTCTCCACTCATAGTTTTTCCAACATTTTGTTGTTGCCTACTAGTTTATGGTCTGGGGTTCTGAGTGTTCTTATGTTTCTTAAGGAATATTTACTCTCGTACCAAAAAGAGAACTTTTCTTTCCAGAGGCGACGGGAATT